GTCAATGTTTGGATGATGATGTTATTAAGTGAAATTTTTAAAAAAGGCAGATGGAGGAGGGAGATTTAAAGGAAAGATAAGAGACACGCAATGAAGAAGGCCGTGTAAAAATGGAGACAGAGATTGGAGCGACACATCTACAAGCTAAGGAACACCAAGGATTTCTTGTAACTCCAAGAAGCTAGAAGAAGGAAGGAAGAACTCTCCCCCAGATTCTTCAAAGGAAGCATGGACTTGCCAACACCATGACTTCAGACTTCTGGCCTCTAGAACTGTAAGAGAATAAATTTCTGCTGTTTTACCTCCTCCCCGCCACTAATAATAAATAGATAGATAGATAGATAGATAGATAGTTAGATATGAAGGAAGATATTTAGTGTGGGTTTTTTTTTTTTGGTGGAGGAGGTTACTTGTAGAATGTCCTGCTAAATTTTGTGTAGGTAAATGTTAACATGTGGCTTTCAAAAAAAACCAAAAACACTCACAACCCTGATTTGTATCAGATTTCCAATGGTGCAAATAAGAGGGTATTTTGAAAAGTTTGTGGAAAAATTCAATTTATCTTTTAATTCTATCTTTCCACGAACTTTTTGAAGAGCTCTCATATTTACACCACTGGCGATTTCAAGCTAGCCTAGAGAAGTTACTCACTGAGGAAGTGGGAAGAGATATGCACAATCAGCTCTCCTGGGCTGGTGTGATCCAGCTCCACCAGGACACCCGTCCTGCTGGGTGCATCAGGGACCACAGAGCGCCTCGAGGAGATAAGGGCTGGCGACAGGGAGTGAATAGTATTGGTTAGGGGAGCATGTAAAAATAAAAAGAGAAAACCAGTATTAGGAAATATACATATAAAGAAACAGGAGTCAGAAAAAGAGAGGTTAAAGAGAAGGAAGTATCAGAAGAGAACCAGATTCATGAAATACAAGAGAAGAACTAGTTTCAAGAAGGAACGTGTGGTCAATAGTGTCAAATACAAGAGATCTAATAGCCTAAGGGCTTAAAAAAATGTCACCAGCATTAGCCATTAAGTGATTTTTCTGAGCTATTTTCTCTGCATTTTTCTACATCAAAAATATTTTTTAATGAAAAAAAGAAATCTTGTTCTCTTTCTAAGAAGGTCATTAATGAATGTGGACAGGACAGACTGAGAGCTGTGGGGGTGAAAATTTGACTGCATTCAGCTGGGGAGTTAATGAAAGGGAAGGAATAGAGATTAAATCTTTCCAGCAGTTTGGCTCTTAAGGGAAGGAGAGCTTGAAGGAAGAGTGGCTTTTAAAAAGATTTGTAACTTACTGAGCAACTAGAAACTCAGGGGAATAGATGTATGATCCAGGCTCACCTGTTGATCCGAATGGCAAACAGAGCAAACATCTTAAGTCCAGAAGCAATAGTGGTTTTGAATCTTGCTTGGGTGTCAGTAGGAGTCACATTAATATAGAAAATGATCACATTGGTCCAATTAAATTGAATTGTAGTGAGTGCTTATGTGATACATGATCTACTCAGCAAATAACATTGGTTCTTATACTTTTTTTTTGTTTGCTTGTTTTTGTTTTTGGTGGTTGATCAATACGGGGATCCAAATACTTGATCTTGGTGTTATCAGCACCATGTTCTAACCAAGTGAGTAATTGGCCAGCTCTATATCATCTTTCAATTCTATTTTTCCGTGAACTTTTTGAAATATCCTCATATTGGAATTAAGCTGACTCATATTTAAACTGTAGGTCCTTTTATGCCTCCTTATTGGAAAGATGTTCTACTTATTTTTTTCTTTTAATTTTGAGGCATCTCTCATTTTCCAGGAAATCTCCAAGATTCCAGTTATTAGGTCTTTTTAATCATAACAAATTCATTTTGAAAAATCACTTTAGAATATATTCTTTTTTATTCTTCATTGACTTCCTGCAACACTCTGGTTTTTTTTTTTTTTTTTTTTTTTTTTCAGAGTTTCCAGGAACCAAACAGTGTGTGTACCAGGCAAAAAACACATGTGTGGTGAAAACCACTTATATTTTAAACAATGTGTACATGTACATTTATGCAGACTAGTTAACATGTATATCAAAGCACAATCCAAGCAATGCCTTTTAGATAATCCCTAATTGCAAAGCTGCAATGGAATGATAAAATCGATCTTCTCTGTAGCTCCATGACCTCCAGTAGGGTCTCCAAGACTACAGCTGCCTGAAGGTTGATTCTGTAATTAGAAGATGCCAGGATCATCTCAGAACAGAACCTCAAGCCACCCAGGCTACATTTATGAAACCAGCTTCTCCACAGCAACAACAACAAAGAAGAGCCTTCTCACTTATTAGGGAAGGGACACCTAGGGTAGGGGATTGGGGTTTTGGTGTTGGTGTTAGCAGAAATCAAAAGATTTTGGAAAAAGCTCAGTGAAGCATACTCAGGAACAAATCAAGTATGACATTCAAAGGCTGGAGGGGAGAGAATTCACACTTGCAAAGTTCTTTCTCAAGGAGCACATCTCTTAGGCTCTAACTTTTGGAATTCAGTATTTTTGTCATGTGAAGCTGTCAAACTTGCAAAATGTGGGCTTGGTGTCAGCAGAAGTAAGTCCCTGTTTAATCTGGCTGAATCACTTAGCCTCTTTAGGGGGTTGGGCTCTTCTAACAGTAGAGATCAAAAAGACTAATAAATATATTTCAAACATTATAGTGTGTTAATGTATTCATTGTGAAGGGATGAGCAGATTCTTGACATCAAGAGTTGTTCTTCGTTAAACATGATTAAGTTTGGCTTTTGGCCATAGACTGATGTATCCAGAATCAATGGCTGTTTTCTCTCTGGGGTTTTCATTTACTTCTTGGGCTCACCTCCTTTCTCCAGCATCCTATCTTTGTCTTATTTGTATAGGACTTACTGTTGCCCATTCCCCACTAGAGCAACCTAAGGGTTTATCTTAATGAGAGTGATCTTGGGAGCCATATCCTTCAAAATTCCAAAAAGATTAATTTTGGTGGTGGGATTTTAATCACCATAACAGGTGGGGAAGGGGGAGAGAAGAGATGGAGGGTCAGGGAGATCAAATCATGCTAGGAATGGTAACATCTCCTCCAGGAGCTTTCCTTCATATACAGACAGAGATTATTTTTAACTCTTTGCTAGTCCTGGAGTTTTAAAAGTTTGGAACGGGAAAATCTTTATCAACCATAGGGAGCACCTGAAAATGACATTAATAGTCAGTTAATAATACCCTTCCAAGGAGCTCAAAGGTTTCAAAAAAATTCATTCTCAGAAAATCCCTCTGAGGGAGGGAGAGCATACATATTCTCTCTATTTTAAAGATGAAGAAATAGAGGCCGAACAACTTTACCTAAATTGTGGATCAGTGATTCAGTCAAGTTTGACCCCAGAATTTAATCTCTTGACCAGGGTTGCCCTTTGCCTGGGGCAAGAGAGACCCCTCACCTGGGCCCTGGGCTTCAGAAGACATGGCTCTGGTCCTCCTCAAACTGCATCCTTTCCTGAGGGCAAGCAGTCCAGGGCCAAGGCGCCATCCTACCCAGAGTTAGGAGTACCTGGGACCCCGGAATTCCTTGCTCTCAAGCCCCCTGGCGGGGCAAGGAATTTTGGGGTGCACTTCCAGGGATGCTTTGGCCTCTTCCCTGGGTCTGTTCCCAGGATTGACTGAACCATCGATGTGTGTAACTGGCCTTGAGTTATGGCGCAGAGGTACCTGTTGACTGTAGTGTGGTGGTGGTAGACACTCAGGAAGTGCAAGTTCTGGAATATGATGGAGCTGGGAGTGGGAAAAAAGGGGGTGGTGGGTGGTTCTCTTATCCCATCACATTCTTGCCAAAACTCAGGTCAAACTGTGAGGAGCCTAAATGTGAACCTGCCCTTCAAGGTTGCTACAAAGACATCTTTGTCAAGTTAGGAGACTTTTATTTTACAGTTTCTTGGCTTGACTTATGACCTAGATATTTACACCTATGGTATGTGGACCTCCATTTGTACTCTCACTTCTGGCCCTCAAATGTTTTGGGTAGTCTTGCTCCTGATTGCCAAAGCCACAGCCAAAGGGAGAAGTTGGAGAACAGAAGTGGCTGTTTTACACCACTGCTAGTCTCTAGCTGCACTTTGCAAATCTATACAAGCTAAAACACGAGCCCTGTGTATTTATCACAGGGATGCTGGTCCACATTTTTCTTTTTATGCGGCCTCCCTCCTCCTCCCAATTTACGAAGAGAAGGAGCAAGACGCTCTTCCCTGGTCCTCTAAGGGGCCTGGGGGGCTCAGGCTGGGAATCTCAAAGGCAGGAGGTTGCCTGTCTAAACCAAAGTCAAGGTATGTGGTGGAAAACAAAAACAGCTGGTTATTCAGAGGGCCGTGCGTCTTTCCCCTACCCTACATCTCTGAGAGGAAATAAAGACAACAGGGTTGGCTTGCTGAGGGCTTGCAGCCTCGGGCTCTCTCTCCCCCAATCCCTCCGACTTACTAAACTAACAAAGGAAAAAAAAAAAAAAAACATGCAGAAAGCACGAGTTTATAGGAATCGATTTCCACTAGTGCACTGTCTGCCCGGAAAGTGGACTAGGTAATCTCCCGCGCAGCCCCAAGCCCCGCGTGTCCCGCTGGTCCTAGGCTGGCCGGGGCGGGGGCGGGGGCCGCGGACATCGGGGCGCGGACCCCATGAGGCCGGCAGCACCCTGCACCCCCTGCCGTCAACCCCGCGGGGAGTGGGGGAACGTCGCCCGTTTAAGGGGCGGGCCGCGGCTCCACGTGCTTTCTGCTGAGTGACTGAACTACATAAACAGAGGCCGGGAAGGGGGCGGGGGAAGAGGGAGAGAACAGGCTTTGACCGATAGTAACCCCGGCGCTCGGTGCAGCAGAATCTATAAAAGGAACTAGTCTCGGCAAAAAACCCTTGATTCCGAGGGAGAGTGAGCGGGGCCGGGGCCGAGCGATCTGAGCCGACCCCTCTCTCCCCGGCGCGGGTGGGCAGGACAGGGGCAGCCGAGGACCCACGCCAGCAGAGCCAGTTTCTTGGAGCGCTTGGCTCCTGTTTTCTCCCCTCCTTCGGAAGGGTCTGTCGAAGGCTGGAGGAAAGAGACGCAGACACAAAGTGCAAAGCAGGTAGGAGGCTCTCCAGTGGCTTGGGCGTTTTGGTTTTGTTCGGGACCGAGGAGGCTTTGGGAAGCGCTCGGTTTCGGGGATTTAGGTCCGGACCCGCACATCCCCACCTCCTGCAACCCAGATGGGGTGGGGTGGGGGGCGTACATGGGGAGAGGATGTCCTAGGACCGGCTCTGGCGACCCCGGGACGCTGCGCTCGGGGCTCGCGCGGCCGTGGAGTCCGGGGAGCATCTCTGGGCGGGGAGACTCGGGCGCAGTCCCTAGGGCGCCGCGGGGTCGCGGGTGCCGAGGGCGCCGCTGGCGGGTGGGGAGAGTGGCAGCTGTGGCTGCGAGCGCTTCCCTTTGTTCGCAGGCGCCGAGCCGGCTGGAAACCCCTCTGGTTGCGGGCCGGCCGGCACACACCGGGACGAATCCTAGCTCCGAGTCCCCATTGCGTTCTTAAGAAGCTGGCTTGAGTTGGGCTCGGACCTGGACGTCCGCTCCGTGTGCCCCCCAAGTGGAGCGGCGCGTCCTTGTTCCCCTAGAACTCAAGTAGGAGTGTCCCAAACCAAGTCCGTTGTGCTGTTGCTCGCGTGAGGCCTCGGGGCTTTGTTTGACCTGCCTGGGTGTCCTGTCTACTGTGTCCGTGCTGTTGTCACACCCGAGCTGTTGTCCTTGGTGCAGCGGGGGGACGAGTTTTGTCACTTTTAAATAGGGAAGACTTAGGAGAGGCTGCGGACACTCGGGGCTGGGGTGCCCACGTCTCCCTCCGCCCCATCTTCCTGCCCTTTGCTGCTCGTCTCTTGGGGCAGCTTCAGGCCGGGCACGGATGGGGAAGCAGGAGGGAGGTGGTGCAGCCGAATGACCGGGAGTAACCCCGGCGGGCGGCGCGCGACTCGGAGCTCGCGGCTGGGCTGGGCTCCGCCGTGAGGGCGGGGGGCTGGGCGCCGGCTGCGGTGGCCCCCGGAGACTGGCCCGCAGCGCCTCCTGGCCGGGCGGCGTAGGAACCGGCCGGGTGCAGGCAGTGGGGCAGGACGCCGAGAGGCGAGTCGTTCGCTCCTTCCGACTGTGAATCCTGTGAAGAGCGGTGGTTGCAGACTGGGAGGAACCCTGGGGGTTCGGGCAAAAGCCTGTCTGGTTGTTTTTTGTTAGCGTGTTTCTTGTCTCCCACGCCGCTGCTAAATCGGAGAAGGTCCTCGGGGTGGCGGCCGGTGTCAGGGTTGTCTGGACGTGCCTCTCTCTCTCTCTCTTTTTTAAAGCACTTATCAGAAAGAAGGGAAGAAATGGGATTAAAAATGAACAAAGAAAGAAAAAGAAAAAGAAGTTAAGTGTCTGGCACTAGAAGTAATTGGCCTTCGTCTTTTGCAGCATTGATACCATAAGCTTTTAAAACCCACGACTTTTCAATGACAACTCACAAAGGGAGCGGGTGGTACATACATTCATGAACTAGAGGACAGATTTTTTTTTTTTTTTTTTTAATATGACCTGTAAGGGGATCTTAACCCTCGACTTGGTGTTGTCAGCACCACGCTCTCCCGAGTGGGCTAACCGGCCATCCCTATATAGGGATCCGAACCCTTGGCTTCGGTGTTATCAGCACCGCACTCTCGGGCCGGCCCCAAATTTGGTATTTTAAAAAAACTTCCTTGGTGATGAAAATCAGCAAGTTTCTTTCCCTCAATGGCCCAATCCCTGCCCCCCTCAAAGGGCACCAAAAATTTGCCCCAAGTTCAACAGCGGAGTTTTAGTGGTTTTCTTTACAGTAGCTTGGAACCCAAACCTAAGTTTTGATCTTCTTTTCAGACAAAACTTAAACAGCGACGAAAAAAGTACTTATTTTTTCCTCTTCCCTTTTATTTCAGCCTATTTTTGTCAAATAATAGAAGCTACCACAAATAATATAGACTTTCTGTTGTTCATCTCGTTCTCTTGGGAAACTTCTCTGACATCAAAGTGTGAAAGTGTGGAGAAGATTCCTGAGTAGAACTTCTACCAAGTATGAGGGAAGTTTCCATTATCAGCCTTTTTCTCAAGTGCTCCCATAAACCATTAAAATAATTCATGATAAGAAGTTTTTGGAAAAACATTGGATACACAGCAAATCAGTATCTACTTGAGAACAAGCAATAGAATCAGAGGGACCCGGAAAGAGGGTCTCTAGCCTTCATGATGACCACAATCCATTTAAGGGATGAGAATTGCTACTGTACACAGAGTAATGCATGAGACCCTTTAGAAGCACCAGCATGGTGTTGGAGAATGATGTATCAGGCTGTGGCTTGGACACATATGATATGCGTATCTTCCCTGCAGATAAGCATGTGAAATCTCAACCCTTATAAATATTTTGATTGATATCTAAATGCAAGTCTGTAATGGACTCTGGACTCATTTTGACTTAGAGCATATTTATAGCTCATGTGAGACAATGCATTTAGTCTAGGATTAGAAAAGAGTGATTAGGGCTTGGTTGTTTCCAACCTCTGCTCAAGGAAGACTCAGAACAAACATTATTAAAAATGAATTAAACTGAATGAAACTCAGCAACTCAGCTTTGTTTATGATCTTCTGTAGTCCTAACCTTATGTGGCGAGGAGTTGGAATATTTTTCCATTTAAATCTTCTTATTTTTTAGTTTTTTTAGGGATCTTTTCTCCCATAAACCAGGATGCTTATGTTATATTTGTAATGACCACAAATTAATATCTTTGCTATTTCAATTTTTAGCTCCTAAAATAATTAAATAGACATTGCCTTAAACTCTTTTTAATTATAAACCTTTTGGATATCTAGAAAATGCCAAAATGCATGTGGTTTTTACATTTCAAAAATACTCTTAAATCCAAATATATTTTTATTTACCATCTAGATATTAAAGAAATAATATAATTATAATGCTCCTTATGGTCATTTACTCCAGTATCAAATTTTAAAAGATCTTTCTGAACACATTTTATTTAACTATGCTGGGAGAGGACCTACACTAAAACTGAGACCATCTTCATATCTGCATGTGGAAGTTACCATGAGTGCCAAAGTTATTACAATGTTTGATAAACACTTATGTAACATTGTGTGCCAAGTATTGTTCTAAATGCTTTTCAAATTCTAACTAATTTAATCTTCGCAACAAGCCTATTTATTATCCCTATTTTACAGATTAAGAAACTGAGAGCGTAACTAATTTGTCCCTGTCCATACACCTTGCAAGTGGCAGAGATAAGATTTGAACCCAGCCAGAAAGTTCCAGAGTTCTTTAACTCCCACGCTAATCGATGAAGTGGTACATTTCAGCTGCCACAAGCAACGGAACTTGCCAGAAATGCTCACTGTGTTCTGTACGTTCATCTGCTATAGTCCTTACCAGAATTGCTAATCGATGAAGTGGTACATTTCAGCTGCCACAAGCAAGGGAACTTGCCAGAAATGCTCACTGTGTTCTGTACGTTCATCTGCTATAGTCCTTACCAGAATCTAGAGCCTGTATAATATTTCCCTTGTTGCTCTGAGTTGGCCAGCCCGATTCTCTTCAGCTTGTTGAGACCTTGGTTGCATAGGGATTGCAACATCATGGAAAGAACAGATAACATTTGCTCAATTCTAGTTTTTTAACTTGGTTTAAAATGGAAACTATACTATTGCTTCAGTCAAATATTTATGAGCAGGTCTGTGATCTCAGACTGTTTTTCTGTGTGATTTTTAGAAAATGGAATGATAGAGTATTTGGCCGTAAAAGTACAAGGAATAAAAGAAAAAAGGAAGAGAACTGTTAGTTTAGCTGTTAATCCCAACTCTGGTGAATTTTTTTTTGTTGGTTATAAAATAATATGATCCCTGCTTGTCCTACTCTGTTGTGGACCTTAAGAAATGAGCTATTTCTTCTGTTACTGCTGTTACTGCCTAGAAATCAAATTTAGCCTTTTCTTAAGGTATATTTCTCTGAAAGTAAGTACAGTTTCAAAGTCTGCTTCATAAAAGTGAAATAGGACACTATACTACTTTTCTTATTAATTGGTGTAGCAAGTTAGAAATAAACTCTTAGGAAACACTTTTTGGTAAAAAAATAGTTAACATTTACTGTTGACTTACTGTGTGATGAATGTTGTTTTAAGCATTTTACATGTAATAACTCAGTTCATTCTCACAAGAACCACATGAGATAGGTACTGTTAGTATCTTTAGAGATAGAGAAACTGAGGTATAGACAGGTTAAGTAGACTGATTATAGAGTCTGTAAATAGTGGAGCTGAGGTTGCAGCCCAGGGTGTTTGGCTTCCATGAATTTACTGATCTCAGGATGAGGCCTTCATCAAAATAGCAAAGTTTTTTTTTTTTCCTTTTTGTCTTTTTTCGTGTCCAGCAACGGATCGCAACCCTCAGTGTCGCGCCCGTACCGGACCGGGACCGGCAACGGGATCGCAACCCTCGGTGTTGCTCCCACACCTCGCTCAGCCAGTGAGCGGGAACCGGTCTGTATGTGGGATCCGAACCCTCGGCGGGAGCGCCGCCGCACTCCCAAGCGGCGCACTGTAGCAGTGCGCCACTGGGCCGGCCCAAAATAGCAAAGTTTTGACAAATAACATACTAGCAAAAGGCCAAAGGTAGTTTTCTCTTTTCATTTGGGTATTTTCACCTAAAAATTGTTTCCTGAATAGGTAACCAGCATAGATGTTACTAGAAAGGTACATTTTAGAAATACTTGAAACCAGAGGGTGAACATCTTGTATGTAAAATTGCTTTCCTAGGAGGGCTTTCAGTTACTGTGCATTCCTTTGGGACCATAAACTGTATTAAAGCAAAGAGCATTTATTCTAACAACAGAGGAACATCAGACTTGGTTCCTAAAACAACGTTTGAAATCCTGTTTTTTTCCATTTTGAAAAAGAACTGAGGTACAAAACCCTCTGATTTGATCATCACGCATTGTATACATGTATTGAAATATAACTCTGTACCCCATGAATATGTATAATCAGTAATGTTTCAGTGAAAACAAACAAAAACTACATTCCTCACCCC